CAATCATATACAACCAATATAATCATCATCAACATTTAAATCCACATCACCACCATTTTCATGGTCTTGAGACTCATCACCAACATTTTCTTCTAAATCACTACTATTTTCATGATCATGAGACTCCCCAACAACATTTTGTGATTCTTCACCAACATCATTTTCTCTCAAATTTTTAATTGACTCATTATTTGTAGAGAAAAATTTATTAAGAGATCCTCTTAAACTTTCGGCAATTTCGTTATCTTTTGCATTTTTTTTCCTTTTCATATTACCAGAGAGTTGTTTCCTAAAAGACATGGCTTCGATAATTTGTTTGCAAAAATTACCTACACATGATATAACAAAAATATCCTATCAAAATTATCATTCTAACACATATTATATATTATAAAAACATTAACACAAAGTTTAACATATTATAAAAATTGAACCTAAAAATTGGGTTTGAAATGAAACCAAATAATTAAATTAGTCAAGAATTCAATTCATCAACAACAATTCTATACATCAATTATCATATAATTCTATATCACTTGCAAAATTTTATATTAGATTATGAATTGATAATTCAAATTTTAAAAATTAATTTACCTCAAAACTCAAAGGGGTTAGTGATGAGTGAATGCTCTTGCACTTGAGCAGCCAATGCCCAATGTTCTGTGATTGCTGTCTGCCTGCGTGCAAAAGCTTGCTGTTGATCTTTTGGCTGTAATGGGGACCGAGTGGGAAAGGGTTGTAATTGGCTGTTGATCTTTTGGCTGTAATTGGGAAAGGGTTGTAAAATGGGGACCGAGTGGTCCCTCTAATAGTCTAATGTCTGATTTTTTTTTTTTTGGGGGCTGTAATTCCCAAAACTTGGACCGAGTCCCCAAATCCCAACACACGGACCGAGTGGTCCCAAAACCTGTGCCCTTTTTTAAAACTTTCTTGGGCTCTTGCCCTCCAGCCTCTATTTGGGTTTTGGACTTATATATATATATATATATACACTAACTTAGTTATTTGGGTTTTTTTGGGTGCCCCCTTCAGTTTGGGGCCCTGGACAGTTGCCCATGTGGCACTGGGCCTGGGCCGACCCTCAGGTAGTTAGGGATGGGCAAATACTCATTGGTTATAGATAACCGCGGTTACCCACCCATTTAAATTAAACGGTTACGATTATGGGTAACCGTTTAGATAAATAAACGGTTATGGGTATAACCGTTTACCCGTAAAATTTAAATGGGCGGTTATGGGTATTAATCGCGGTTATAAACGGGTAACCGTTTACCTATTTATTTTATATATGTAAAATTAACACAAACCATGTTCTCGATCCAATAATACTTAGCACCCAATAAATTAGCAAGGAATTCATCGGTCATTCTCTTAGTAACACTACTACAGGAATGATGATTCTCATCATCAAGGAATTCGCCAAATTAATTTAAATTCCTTACGGGTAACCGTGAAATTGACAGAAATGCTTTGACAGAAATGTCTTCTAAACAATTTTTGTAACCTAATAATACTTGGCAAATATTATATTTACCTTCATTGGTAACAGTTAAAAATATCGTCCGTAAACTATTATTTCAATTATTGGAATGGTATAAAGACTTAATATGGAAATGTATAATGAATGTACCTATAACGGTGTTTAATTATCAAAAAAAAGAAAATTATGACAATGTTTTTTTAATGACAATGTTTTTTTAATTTTCAAGTTGTTAAAAAACATGTAGACTGGTGAAAAAAGGGGTAATGGTAAAAAAAAAAAAGATAAACGGGTTCAAAAGGATAAATGGATAAACGAGTATTAAACGGTTACGGTTAAATGGGTATGCGGTTATGAGTATGGTTAACCATTTATAAACGGTTATGGGTATGGGTATAACTGTTTAGGCAATTATCTAACGGGTAAACGGTTATACGGGTATGAGCATACACGGTTATGGGTAAATAACCGCGGTTATCCGCCCGCCATAACCGTTGCCCATCCCTAGAGGTAGCAACTTACTCATCATCCATGATGGAAATTTACCACCCATGTAATTTTTTATCTTTAGTTTTTCCAACTTCAGATGCGGTTCGAGGCCTTCCAGTACATCCTCCTCATCATTGTGGGCTCTGCAATCCAACCATCCCATTCTGAAATGAGTCCGTACAAATCTCAAATGGCATAAGGGTTGGTTTGGTATTGCTGTGCCTTGAAAAAAAAACTGCTTCTGCTGTGATGTGAGAATAAGCAGCTGTGAAATAAAGCAGCAGAGTGTTTGGTAAACTTTTTTGTAAAAGTGCTTTTGAAAAAAAAAAAACAGTATTATAGTGTTTGGTAAACTTTTATGTAAAACAGATGTGAAAAAAATCCGGTTTTTCAAAGCTGGGTTTTGCAGCTTTGTGTTTTTGGTTTTTTTCACCCAAAACTGTGGAAAAAACTAAAGCTGAATGTTTACCAAATACAAAAAATATCCCAGCTTTTTTTTATACCCATTTTTTTCAGAATCACCTCAGTACCAAACTAGGCCTAAGTGTCTCTTCTCTTCTAATTTGGCCTTCTTTGCTCATTTCCATCCCTTACTTCTCAAGATTATAAATGATCAATTCACCATTCAAATGATTTAAGCCAGCCAACTTCTCAATTCCACGACCCATCTCTTTACCCACAAAAAAGTAAGGTAATGTTCGAAGGCACGTCAGTCGTCCCATTCCAGAAGGAAACGCCATGCTCTTATTGAAATAAAAATGTCTCAAGTTGATCAAATTTTTTACTTCTTTCGGAAACTCTTCAAGAGCACAGTTCATTGCCCTTAATGTCTGCAGGTTATAGAGTTATCCAATGGATTCAGGAAGTGTTTTGAATCTTGTTTCAGAAATGTCAAGATACCTCAACTGTTTCATATTTCCAATTGATATTGGAAACTCCTCAATACTAGACTTGTATAAATTTAAGACACGTAAACCTCTAAACCGTGGCAAGATGTTACTTCGCCATTCGTAAACAATGCGCACTAAGACCTCCCTTTGTATAAATTTGTTCTATTGGTAATAAAATTTACCTTTGACCAATAATAATAATAATAATAATAAACACCACAATGAGCGCACTCTCCCCAGTCTTCGTTTTGCAATTTTTCCTAGTGTGGAAGTAGAAACCCAAGCAACATGTCTAACCTCAAGTGTATCATTCGTCTCATGTAAGTCTCTCGTCAAGCTTTCAGATTTGGATACAAGACCAGTAAGATCATGCACAAGATTGGACATCTTGCATTTGGTAATAATGTCAGCCATCCAATGTAGCATTTGGAAATAAGGAACTTTTCAGTAGAATATCAAAATATTCATTACCTATATCCTCCATCTCTAGATTACTTACTTCAGGAGTTTCTTCGGGTAAAAGGTGTAGTAATCCTTGAGCCATCCATTGTTGAACCAAGCTATCTCTTTCAATTTTGAAATCTTTCATGAACACTGAGCAATATGCAAAACACTGTTTCAAAAATGAGGATTTCAGATTATCAAAACTCAACTTCAAAAGTGAAATCATTCGATCTTCTCCTTCTGGTAAGTCCCAAACTCTACTTTCTTTGATTGACAACCATTCGTCAACTCTACATTTAGACAACAACATCAGAGGGGGCGTTGAGGGGGTGCGAAATGTGCAGTCGCACAGGGTCCCAAATTTGAAGGGGCCCCCAAAATTTTTGTCACCTAATATTTATATGTAATAATATTCTATATTTAAAATTGCTTTTGTTATGAAATAATGTTCTATATTCAAAATTTGATTTTGTTAGCACTTTAAAATCTCATCTTACACTCCTTATAAACGTAATTTTTTTTTCTTTCTAAATACAAAAAATTAGAGTACAATAAGATATTCTGAGTGCCAATAATACACCATAAAAGATGGTATTTTTTCAATATTATTATATAATAATGTTACATATTAGAGTGAAACTTTAAAGTTATAGTTTTTGAAGTTTGTTTTCTTGTTTGATTGTTTAAGATTGAACTGCTTTTGATTATTTAGTGAATGTTATGTTTGTAGCTCTTTTTACTTATTATTAATTATATTTTTTAACTTGCAATCAGTGATTGCTAAACTTTGTTTTCATTCAACTGATTATTTTCTAGCGTCAATACATTGTCCTACGTTTTTTAAAGACTTATCTTAAGGAGGGGCGATTTTATAAATTTCGCATAGGGCTCCTAAAATCTCAGAGACGGCCCTGGACAACATGCTTCCCAAAACCTGGTACATGAATCACAATTTCTATCAAATAACGAATATGGTAAATTAGCAACAGAAAAAAAGAAAGCTAGTAATAGTTTAATTGAAATAACGAATATGTAAGGGCTCAACACCTGAAGGGAATAAAATGAGATAATAAAGAAAAGAAATAAGAAAAGAAAGGATCAAGGGGTTAGCGAATGAGGGCCCCATCCTCCTCAGGGTGTCGAGAGTATCGGTCAGCCATAAACCTCCAAGTTACTGGATATAATCCTCGACGAAAAGTAAAACTTCAGCATATTTTGACCAATTCAAGGTGAATCTTGATTCATCGCCCGAGAGGAGTCTTTCTCTTCTATTCAATTCCGAACCTTACTTCGTTGAATTCTTAACTCATCTAACTTTTAGATTTAGTTCCTCCTCGACATTCACCACTATGGTAAATAACCACTTGACTATTAATTTTGTTTTTTCTTTTTCGTAAAGCATGTGTGATGCTTTTTTTCCCTATCTCAAAGTTGTCACGTGTAGTTTACTTCTAGTAGGTTTTCTCTATCTCGATGTTTTGTCGCTATCTTATTCAAAAAAATAAAAAAATAAAAAACAATTGCAACGAGTAATTGTTTAGTCCCTTTTAAATTTTTTACAAATATACGTGCCTAGCATGTTGTTAGTAGGACTGACTTTGTCAACAATAGCATAAAAGCTTTATGCCCCTTTTTAACGTGTTTATAATAAAAACGCAAATAAACAAAAGTACTTCCTCCAGAAGCAATCCCAAGCGGGACTTAAGAAATTATTTGGAGCTGCATTCTCAGAAACAAAATATCAATCAACTGAACTTGTGATTTTGTACTGCACCAAAAAACCAAAAGGCTTAAGTTGAGAGGTCACAGAAATTCCTAGATATACACAGTGAACTGTTATTCATTTCACAAATAAGTAATTGCAGTAGCCTGGATTTCCTTCTTGCTCTTCACCCGACACCGCTTCTTGGTCTCGCTTTCAAGTTTATCAAAATCCTCTGCAAGTCCCACATAGCCATATAAACAATTTTCTTGGTCTTCCAGCGAGTTTTGCTTCCCTTCGCTGCTGCTGTTGCTGAGGGAAGCTGAGGTGATCTGCTGGAACTCAGCCCTCCCGTGTTTGTTCTCAGCAAAAAGCTTGTGAAGCCTTTCTGCTTCCCGAAAACCAGAAAATGTGGCATTAAATGTCACCACCAGATGCTGTAATTTGCAGGCTTCCCACGGCACACCTTAGCCTTCCCCCCACCAAAACCTATACCTACGATTAAGTTGAGATGAAAAATACGAAATACTAGAAATGAACAAAAAGACCAACCAAAAAAGCATCATAAAAAGATAAACCGAACAAGCATTACACCATCAACTATAAGGTCCACTACTGAAAGCATGTTAAAAGGGCAGAAATGCAGCAAGTTGGTTACTAAATTAGAACCATAACTATAATTTTTAAATTTGGAAGGGTGCTGTTATCCACACTTCTTTTTACCCCTCACACGCTCCTCTGTTAATTTATGTCCTTCATTTATTCAATCCAACGGCTGAAAATTGAGATGGGTGTGTAAAAGGGGTGTGTGGATAGCACCACCTATTTGGAAATGCATTCCACCTCCCGTGAATGTTGCAACTGATCAAAGAGAGTTACACAAGTCAAATCCGAAGTTTGGAAGAAATAATAAATGAAAAAAGAAAATGAAATCACAAAATAAAACAGAAATATGAACAGAAACATAATCTTAAATGAATAATGGAGAAGATGGAAATCACATAACAATATCTGCTACTAGAGTAAAAAAAAAAAAAACAAAATCATTGGAATTTGTCACGGAAATCATCAAAGTATACTTACCTTTAAGAATATCCTCCAGCCCTTCAATAGTTACAATCACCCTTTTATTCGGATTTTTATTTGCTATGGAAGTGTTGTGAATGACAACAACCGGAGGAAAGATAACCATGTCCTCCTTCAGAGCCAAGGCTTCAGCATCAGGCAAGAACCGCTGAACCCATGTACCATTCGAGACGGATGCACTGTCCCATCCCATTAGCACACAAAGTGCTTTATGAAAACCCAAGTGCTCTGCTCTGGAACCAGCCATACGTGACATGAAGGCATGTATTGCCAAGGGCACCACACCTGCAAACTCTTTCGAGTTGCTGATACAACAGGCAGGCAGATTCAATTGTCATTAACCAATTCCAAGGAAGCAACGTGGGACAAACTACAGCATCACTTTAACATTTTGGTAGGACATGAGGTGAAAAGGGAAAAACAGAGGCATTATCTTGGTTCAGAAACATATATATCGTGAGAATCATGTAGTAGTCCATGGATAAAGTTCCTATACAATAAAAAACTACTTTACCAAATAAGTACCTTCTAATCCCGCACCGGGAAAGTGAAGACTTAGAAGACTTTCAAGGTTACAAGATCTCAAAGCGCAAGGGCCAAAGACTCAGGATAATAGGTATCATGCCACAGATGACACAAAAAAAAGTAGCCATCTTCAAGGAAACATACATGGATTTCCATGGAAGGATCTCTTCCATAGAGTAGCACGCAGGAACTTCAGATTACTAAAAGCATGGCAAACTACAGCTATCATCTTTCTAACTCAGTTTTTACGATCATTGTTGCTCTTCTCCCGCTAATTATCAAATGAAAGTAGTCCATCTGACAAACATGCATAGGGAGTGTCTGCAAAAAGAATTTATCAAATACTAACTTCAAAGCTTTACTTCCTTGAAAAATTCTTCCTTTGAAAGGCCCTAAATTCCTTTAATAAACAAGGCACTCACCACCTGGGTTTCAAGCAGCATGGTGGTAAGTAGATCACACGTAACTAAAGAATACCAAAAGAACAAACAAAAAAAGGCAATCTCCCATCCATCATAGGCACCTAAGCACAAGTCCTCACATCACTACACACCACTACCCAAGACTATAATTATCATCCTGATACTGGTCACGCTGCCACCATGACCATAAATTTCATTTGCACTACTTCTTTCAAAACAAACAAGAAAGGTAGAAGAGTTCCCATCCTCCTTCCTTCCATCTACAATTTTTATCCTTTTCAAATTATAGGAGGTTGTAGATTGGAGAAATCTCACTTGGTCATGTTACATGAGTACCATAAACCTATATTCAAACACTAAACTAAAATGGGTTTTCTCCCCCAATAGCACTCGCCAATCATATGGAATCTTTCAACCAAATATGGACATCCCGAAATCTCTTCTAGGCCAATTGACCTCATCTTCCCGTGGAAGAGTTCAGGAACATTTAAACTTAACACAAGTTTCGGTCACCAAAGCCCAAACAATTAAGGGCCACATAGTTCGGGTCGGGACAGCCAACATTTGGTGAAGCCCCTCCAAGACAGCCAAGACGAGGAAAATTCAAGTATATCAACTTATCTTGATCTGAAGAGACCTAAAAGTTAAACCTTACCTAACTACACTTATGTCAGATACTAAATTTCTATAAGTTATAATCATTCTAATCCCCCTGTTGCAGCAGAGAGTAAATTTAAACATAAACTCAGAAACATACTACGACGTAGAAGACAGACCTGGCACATACACAACACTTTGTAGTAAAACTTCCTCCTCCCGTTAATTGTCTTCTTAGAGCTGGGTTTTCATGCAAACGCTTAATGTGCTTAAAAAAGGCACTATCCACCAGTCTCTTGAACTCCTCAGAATCTTCAGGAAGTTCCATCTCCGCAGGTTTCGCCTTAACTTTTGGAATGTCATCCCCTTGAGGATGAATGCTTCCACTAAAATCATCGGTTTCTCTTATTTGAGATTTGTACTGATCATGAGGTTTGTAATCTGAGAATTCGAGATTAGGAACATCTTGAGCAGGCCTGAGATGCTTCTTTACACTGCCCGGTGATTGCAATGGTCCCAAACGCCTTTTTACACTAACAGAGGACTTTAACGGTCCCAAGCGCTTCTTTATACTGCCAGGTGACTTCAAAGGTCCCAAACGCCTCTTTACATCCAACCTGGCAGATTGGAATTGTTCTCCATGACGCTGCTGGACAGGTACTGGCAGTTTAGAAGATGGTAACAAATTGTCGGAATTTAGTTTGTTGACATCTTCTGCTTTCCAGTGGTCCACAACATGGTTCGGACCACGGTGATCCTCTCCATAGATAGAATCCCGGTCGGTGTACCATTGATCCTCTCCAAAATTCAAATTTTGGTTAATGTTCACGCGATTAACTCCAAAATTCACATCTTGGTCAACGTTCCATTGACCCTCACCACAGGTCACAGCTTGGTCAATGTTCAATTGATCCTGACCAACGATTCCATAATGTTTGAAATCTTCATTACTCCACTGGTCGTACCCAAAACTCAAGTCAGGTACATCGCATGCGTCACTCGAATCATTGGACAATTCAGAATTTGATTCATTCCGACGTAGTTTCCTAGCTAGAGCACGTTTCCTCATTGCACACATTTGCAGGGTGGTCAGCTCGTCCAAACTTTGATCACCCTCAAGCGGAGCCAATTTCTTCAATGTACCTTCATACGACAACGCTTCTCGCCCTCTTTCGAGACCATCATCTCTTCCAAATCCGAAGCTCCGGGTTCGCGGACTAGAACCCAAAACTTCATCATAACCAGAGATTGATTGTTCGCTCAAAGATTGATAATTCAGAACAGTGGGTTGTGTTTGGTCCATAAAATTAGGATATTGGTTCCACTGGCTAATCTCCTGAGTACCTGCTCTGAGTGAAGCATTGTAAACCGGAGGCCTCGGAACTTCTCTAACACCATATGCAGGGGCATTGTAGTCCCATTTCGGATTCCGCCATCCCCAACCGGCATCAACCGACTGATGTGGTCCCGTTATTTGACTTGTGTTGAATTCATCAGAAACCCCGTGAAAACCCGGATCCAAAATGCTCGAGCGCGCAGGTCCGTTGCCAAACACGGCCTTATCTTCTGGACCCACGTATGCATTGTGGTCACCGAGCCTAAAGTCTTCAACTTTTTGAATACCCACATGGGGTTTTGGCAACGCAGCCGGGAATCCGCCATGAAAATACGCAAGCTTCCTTGTGGGGTCCACACCAGGGTCCGGAACCCCAAGTTTCCCACTTCCGGAGCTGAAACCGAAGTCGGGTCGGTTCCAACCCGGATTCGCGGTCGAAACGGCGGGTCTCCGGGCTAGCAGATTGTTCCACTCGAACTTCATCGACGTCGATTCCGAGAGGGGCAAGCCGGCGCCGAGACCTGCCGGTTCCTGCGGCCGCCTGTCTCTCTCTCTTTCTCCATCATAATAACGACGGTTATCGTACTCTCTCCGGGAATTCGGTTCAGGTCTTGCTCTTGCCGAACCCGAAACCCGACCCGAGTACGAACGTCGACTCTCCTCGGCTTTCGCGCAGTGGTTCGCCAAAGAACGACTCGGGTAGTCCCCGAGCCTCCGCCCACTCATGAAAACAAAACCCTAAAATGTTAAGACGACAAAGGTTTAGCGTACGGAACGATGTCGGAGCGAGAGACGACTGAGTTTCTCAGTTGATGGCCGAAAAAGGGGGACCGAAACCCTAGAAAGAGGCGCTCGGAGAGAAACGAGAGAGAGAGAGAGAGAGAGAGAGACTATGGCGAGCTGCAGCGGTTGTTTTCTTCTTGTCGGGCAACAAAAAGGACTGCCACCGCGATTTAAATGTTTGTGGGCTGCGTAGAGGAGGTGGTGATCTGGTGAGAGATGGTTTGGTGGATTTGGTGACGTGGCACATGGTTATTGGCTGCTTGAAGGGGAGTTTGAAGCCTGGTTTGGTACCGAGGGATTCTGAAAAAAGTGGAAAAAAATGGGTATAAAAAAAAGCTGAGAACTTTTTTGTGTTTGGTAAATATTCAACTTTAGTTTTTTTTTCATAGTTTTGGATGAAAAAAAAACAAAAACACAAAGCTGCAAAACCTAACTTTGAAAAATCAGCATTTTTTCACATCCGTTTTACATAAAAGTTTACCGAGCACTATAATACTGTTTTTTTTATTTTTCAAAAGAACTTTTAAAAAAAATTTACTCAATACTCTGCTATTTTATTTCACAGCTGTTTATATAGTCTTTTTTCAAAGCACAGCAATATCAAACCAGCCTTGAGTGTTGTCCGGTGAATGTTGGGGGACCAGGAGGTTTGGGTGGGCCTATGGCGAGAAGGTTGCAGCCATGCTTTTGAGTTAGTGGGATTGTGCCCTTTTAGCTTTTCCCTTTTTCGACGGATTATTTTTGGAGGAACATTAACAAAAAAAAACTCTATTATTCATCTTAACGAAAAATTATATTTTTATATTAAAATATTAATTTTAATATTATTCATTTTATCTTTTATTTTATCATTTTCGTTAAAATTCAAAGTTTTAAAGCTCTTTTCATTAGTTTTCTTTATTTTTTAAGATGCGTTCATTAAAATTTGATTTTTTTTGGGCGTAGTCAATTTAGATTTCAGGGAATTTTAATGGATTTTTTTAAGTAACAGATTTCAATGAATTTTTTTTAAGTGACAGATTTCAAATTTAAGATTTATTAGTTGACTCTTATAACATAAAACAAGGAAATGAGCATAAGCGTCTATATATATTAAAGCTAATACAAGTATATTTATATAATTGCATCCTTCTATTGTAATTGGTTGTGATTTACAAGGCATTCAATAGGTTGTCCACTTGTGTCATTCAATACTATAGTTTGGTGGTATTCTGTTCAATAGGTTGTCCACTTGTGTCATTCAGTACTACAGTTTGGTGATATTCTTCTTTACTTGAAAGTGAGAGGTCTTATGTTCGAATCTCGTGGATGACGAATTCGATACCAACTTAAGTTGCTTATTATGTGGCATAGCCGAACTCCCCCTCCCCTTAGTTTAAAAATATCGATGTACTTAAAAAAAATAAAGGTTGTCCACTTGTGATTATAAACTCTTTTAGCACGTGGACTACGACTTGAATTGTCGTCAATAAAATACTTAATGGTTTCATAACGTTGTTCTTCCTCAATTTCTTCATCATCGGTTCTTCTTCTTCTTCTTCAATTTGTTCTTTTACCATTTGCTCCACTTTCATTTCCTCCTCCTCTTGATTCACTTCCATTTCTTCCCCATCTTCTTCCACTTTCATTCTTATTTGAGACATTACATAAACTACCCAATCAAATAAACAAAACCATAAACAAGTTAGCAGACATAACACCATATATAAAAATACCAATTATAGGAGATATGAAGAAATATAGACAATGTCAAAGACACCACAAAAAATTAAAAATAGTAAGAAACCTCAATTCCTCCCGCCGACCATAAATACAGTAAGCCCTAGCCTAATTCTTCTTTCCCATTATTCTTACCAGCTAAAAACACACACCACAATTAAACTAATTATCAATTTTTAACAGCTAAAAACGCGCCAATTTATAGTCATGAAAAAAAAATGCTAATCGTAATAACCAAATTCATAAAACACCCAAATACCAATTCACCCATGAATTTTTTATATATCAAAAGCATGATCTAATTTGGTAGCCAAATAAAGCAGAAACTCAATACCGCCGCTCAAGGTTTGCGAGCTATTTCAGGCAAACCAATTCAACGATGACCTTTATTATATCTTGAACTTCGAAACCCGATGTTGGTGTGGAAGCCAGATTTGTGACCAGAGGAGGCTGAAATGCCTCTGTGAGTCTTCTCATGTCCTGAAAGGGGTGGATAACCGTGGTTTGCTACCAATTGTCTCCATTTTTCAAGGAAAAAAAAAATACACCAAAGAATAATCCAAGTAGATCATACTGTTAAACAAGAAACTAAGTCAACATGAAAGTCCTATTCAATTACTTGACAACTTTGCATTTAAATGTAATTGTGTATAATTCAGTTTGTAATCTACATATACCGTGAGTATTAATGAAGAAAGCGAGTCTTCCACAAATTCTCATTTTGTTGTTATCCTTCCTTTGTCTCTGCACTACATTTTCTACACATACAATCAAATTTCAAAGAGCAAACAAAATTAAGAATAATGAAATAAAATTGACGAGTGAAAGCTAACAGACCTTGAGACTGAATTAGATTATGGTATTGAAATTTCGGCTTTATTAGCGCTGCATTCCAATTGGCTCGCTTGTTATTGTTGAAATTTCAATATTCTATGTGGGTTCCTTAACTTTCTCGGCAGACAAACAAAAAGCAAAGAATAATCCAAGTAGATGAGAAATAGGAAAGAAAAACGTACTCACAAGTGTGGATTCAAGTTGATGTAATCAATTTGGATTTCACAGGATTTTAATAGACTTTTTTTAAGTGACAGATTTCAGAGGATTTTAAAAGATTCTCAATTCTATATGGATTTCGATAGATTTATATGAATTTCTAATATAGATTTCTATTGATTTGTATGGATTTCTTTCGTAGATTTCTTAAGATTTATTAGTTGAATCTTACAACATAAAATGAAATAATGCACAAGAAACATAAACGTTTTGAATCAAAGGAGATCCATTAACAATAAATTTGAATTGTCAGCAAGCACAATCATGAATTCAAATATACATAATAATAATGTAATCGTAGTAGCTAAGTAATCAAATGAAATTCCAAATTCTAAGTTTCAAACATTGCCACAAAACCTTAACACAACCACAAAACCTACAAGAACATCATCAAAAACTCATCATTACCACACTAGAATTATTTGTGACTCATTATCCTCCATTCACATTGTTATCATTGTGGGCATCTCTCCACATGTCCAAAGCTATATTATATCTCCGTTCATTAGCAATATTCTGTTGTTGTTCTTGTGTTTGAAAATCTTGGTCAATGTCCCCTTTAGAAACTGACAATGGTGGAGACGAAGAAGATTCATCATCTGGTTCAAAAGGAAACTCATTCGATCTACACTCCTTGCGAAGAAAATTGTGCATTGCTACACAAGTTAATACTACCTCCGCTTGTGTTGCATATGGAAATGGAGGTGCAATCCTTAAAATAGGGAATCGTAATTTGAAAATATCAAATATCCTCTCGACGACATTTCTTAAAGAAACATGATGAAGATTGAATAACTCTTTTTTATTTCTAGGCTCACGACCCGAACCATTATACTTTTGGAGATGATATCGGATTCCTCGATAAGGAGGTAAGAAGTGACGTCGATTTGGAAATCCACATTCTACTATAAAAAATTTAGAAAACTTCATTTTAATCCTTGGCAAAGATGACTTTTTGATTAAAACCATGAGTAAGATCAAAATCTAATTTTAGTCCCTTGATACATTAATAACCTCATTTATTAATTATATTTTGATTTTTTAATTATTTATCTTTTTCTTTCTAATTTTTAATGTATTAATTTTATTTCATTATAATTTTATTTTCATTTCATTCATCGTAATATAATTTGTTGTGAACATTTAGATAAACTAATTTTTGTTATACAATATATTTTGATGTACTTTATCTTCTTCATTTAGGTATATTAAATTCATTATAATATATTTCGGTGCATACATTTAGGTACACACATTTCGGTACATACATTTCGATACAAACATTTAGGTACATTAATTCAATATAATACATTTTCGGTACTAACATTTCAGTGCATACATTTCGGTGCATACATTTAGGTACATTAATTTAATATTAATACATTTCGGTGCATATATTTAGGTACATACATTTCGGTACTAACATTTATGTCACAGCCCGTCCCGGAGGTACTTTTGACGGGAATGTGAAATGACAGAATTGCCCTTATTGGACATTAAGGTACGTAGGTACGTAACGTTATTTTGAAAATAGCATTGGTTGGATGGGATTTTATTGGAAATTGATTTTTGGTATAATTGGTTAGGATGAAATGGAGGGTGTGGATTAATTTGGACCACACATGACCTTCCTCTCTCCCTCTCCTTTCCCCGTGCTTTCCCTGTCTCTGTCTCTCCCTCACGAACTCACACCCTCACACACCCATATCGTACGGACCACCACCAAAACCCTTCAAAACTTGACGGATCGGGGCAAATAAGGTATGTATCTTCATCGTTTTGACGTCCTGAGTTCATTGGTACTAGTTTTAGGAAGTGAAACCTTCGATTTCACGTAGATCCCGAACCTCCATTTTTGAGGTACTGTTCATGTGAACGTAAAATGTTGTGTTTCAGGAGATTTCAAGCTTGTGGTGAGCTTTAGGAGGTCCTAAGGAAGCTCGGGGACGTTCGTTGGAGAATTTTGGACGCCGGGATCGTAGGTTTCAAGTCAGGCCAATTTTGGTGGAGCGTATACTTGCATCTCAAATGGTGGATGAAGAAATTCAGGAGTTGGTTCAGTTAAGAAGTGAAGGGAAAAAGAAAGACCTCAGAATTCGGGAATCAGATGGTATGCTCATGCAAGAAGACAGAATGTATGTTCCGAATAATGAGGAATTGAAAAAGGAAATTCTGGACGAAGCACATTGTTCAGCTTATGCGATGCATCCGGGAGGAACAAAAATGTACCATACCATTCGACCATTTTATTATTGGCCGGGTATGAAAAGAGAAATTGCAGAATATGTGAGTAGGTGTATCATTTGCCAACAAGTGAAAGCAGAAAGAAAGAAGCCCTTTGGGCGAATGCAACCACTTCCCGTTCCCCCAGTGGAAATGGGAAAATATAACCATGGATTTCGTGTATAAACTTCCTCGTACGCGAAATGGATTTGATGGTATTTGGGTGATTGTGGATCGACTCACCAAGTCGGCGCATTTTATTCCGGTGAGGGAGAAATACCCTCTAAATAAATTGGCTAAGTTGTATTTCGAAGATTGTCAAGTATCATGGAGTCCCAGTAAATATTATCTCCGATCGAGACCCGAGGTTTACTTCTAAATTTTGGGTGGCTTTTCAGGAAGCTCTGGGTACTCAATTATTGTATAGCACAGCTTATCATCCTCAAACTGATGGGCAAATCAGAGAGGACCATTCAGACGTTGGAGGATATGTTGAGATCTTCAGTACTGCAATTTGGGTGATTCTTGGCATGATCGTCTGGACTTAATGGAGTTTGCTTATAATAATAGTTTTTCACTCGAGCATTGGTATGTCCCCATTCGAGGCACTTTATGGTAGGGCGTGTCGAACGCCATTATGTTGGTCTGAGGTTGGCGAACGGATATTAGAAGGCCCTGAGATCGTAGATGAGACGACTCAAAATGTTCAGGTAATTAAGTCAAACCTGAAAGCAGCCCAGGATCGACAGAAGAGTTTAGCGGATCGGCATACTACTGATCGAGTGTATATGATGTGGGTGATTGGGTATTCTTGAAATTGTCGCCTTGGAGAGGTGTGGTACGATTTGGGAAAAGAGGAAAGCTAAGTCCGAGATATATTGGACCTTATGTGATCATTGAAAGAGTTGGTGAAGTTGCCTACCGGTTGGAACTGCCTCTGGAGTTATCTAAGGTCCATAATGTGTTCCATGTCTCTATGCTTCGGCATTATGTTTCTGATCCTTCTCATGTGATTCCTCCTCAACCGTTAGAGATTAATCCGGATTTGACTTATGATGAGGAACCGGTCACTATATTGGATTGGAAGGATAAAGTTCTAAGGAACAAGACGGTGAGTTTAGTCAAGGTGTTGTGGAGGAACCATTCTGCAGAGGAAGCTACTTGGGAGACGGAAGACCGGATGAGAGAGGTGTACCCAAGGTTATTTTACGAGTATTAATTGATTTATTTGGTTATGGGAATTTCGGGGACGAAATTCTATAAGGAGGGGAGATTGTCACAGCCCGTCCCGGAGGTACTTTTGACGGGAATGTGAAATGACAGAATTGCCCTTATTGGACATTAAGGTACGTAGGTACGTAACGTTATTTTGAAAATAGCATTGGTTGGATGGGATTTTATTGGAAATTGATTTTTGGTATAATTGGTTAGGATGAAATGAAGGGTGTGGATTAATTTGGACCACACATGACCTTCCTCTCTCCCTCTCCTTTCCCCGTGCTTTCCCTGTCTCTGTCTCTCCCTCACGAACTCACACCCTCACACACCCATATCGTACGGACCACCACCAAAACCCTTCAAAACTTGACGGATCGGGGCAAATAAGGTATGTATCTTCATCGTTTTGACGTCCTGAGTTCATTGGTACTAGTTTTAGGAAGTGAAACCTTCGATTTCACGTAGATCCGTAGAACCTCCATTTTGACGAACCTCCATTTTTGAGGTACTGTTCATGCGAACGTAAAATGTTGTGTTTCAGGAGATTTCAAGCTTGTGGTGAGCTTTAGGAGGTCCTAAGGAAGCTCGGGGACGTTCGTTGGAGAATTTTGGACGCCGGGATCGTAGGTTTCAAGTTTGGCCGAACCCTTGGTTTTTGCAAGGTGAGATTTCGTAGTTTTTAGGCCCTAAAACTAGTCCAACGTGATAGTGCACTCTTAGGGCTTCAATTTGGTATAAAATACGAAGAAAATGGGTGAAAAACGAAGGAGAACAGTGAGTTTGAAAATCGGCCGGAGTTCGGCCGGAGTCCGGCCACCGGAGAACCAGTCCGGCGAGGCCCTGCGAGGAAGATGACACGTGCACTGCACGTGCTGCGCGTGGCCAGCGCGTAGACCCGTGCCACGTGTGGCGCGTGGGGGCGCGTGGGGCTTCCAAAAATTTTTCTAAAAATATCCCGACGCTCGTGACGTCGAGTAGGTCGATGTGGTATATTCATATACCAAAATTGAGCATCGTATGTGAAGTTATTTCGAATTATTGGTGATGTGTTTAAAATTAACGTTTTTATAGTTGTTTCGCATATAGGTGAGACGTATCACGAGGACGACCGCATCCAGGGACGCCACGGGGGTTACGACCCGTCGACTTATCAGTGAGTGGGCAGTTTTGTTTTCGTATTACCTATATACTATTGTTTTTCCCAGAAAAAATGCTTTTATGAGAAATTATTTTTTGAAAATGCCATGCATAGAATTATTTGGAAAATGTGAATTTCATATGAGTTATATGATTGATATATGATGCATACATGTTGCATGGTGCTGTGGAGGCACAGGTAAGTCAGGTGAGTTCATTTATTCATTGAATTGTTGTTGAGATGATGTTTTGAGCTCATAACCTGCACCCTAGGTGTTAGTGCTTATTTTATTCACCACACCGCACGCTCGCCTTGGATCCAAGTAGGTGGATGTCGTACAGACCATGTGAGGGTTCCGACATGCCAGTCGTACAGACCATTAGAGGGGTTCCGACTGGTGTGGGTGACCTTAGATATGCGCGCTGATGATATGATGAGAGAGAAGCACTAGAGCGTATTTTTACACCTATCATCGTATATAGACTACCTTACGTAGTTCCGAGTGATGTGCAGAGTAGGGCCGTACAGGTCACTGTGGTGACTCCGGCTTAGTGGGATTTTGAGCTATTGAATTAATCGTATAGGACCAACTGCAGGGTCTCCGATTGATTCCTTATTTCACCTGATTTTATATTTTGATTTATATGGCATGGCATGTTTTCTTGAAAATGTTAAAGATTTGAGATTTAAATGTTGAGATTTTATATGGTTATATATTTCTGGGAAAGTATACAGGTTTTTACGGCGAGGGGATATAACTGTTTTAATGAAATGTTTTGCAAAACTAATTTGTTTTACTGACCCACTCATTTTGTTTTGCGCCCCTCCAGGTTCTAGTTTAGCGGTGGTTGGCTCACGAGGTCCTTTCCGGCTTTCTGACAGATTTGGGACATGTAGGACTCACCTGAGGGTGATGTATTCTTATTTTAGTCCTACTTGACTGCAGTTAACCTATGCTCTGAACTTATGTGTTTACTTGTAACTCGTCCGGTTATGTCCGTATGTGGTTATGTTGAGTTTGGTTTGAATTTCTGTTGATTTATGTTGTTGTTACGCTTCCGTGTCGTGCTTATGGTTACGTCACGCCCACGTGACGGCCAGCACACCTGGATCCTCCGGATCAGGGTGTGTCAATTTAAATATATTAGTTCAATATAATATATTTCGGTACTAATATTTAGGTACATTAATTGAGTCTTTCAAGTTTGAAGAATGTTAAATAAAATTAATAAATTAAAAAACTCTTTTTTGGTCAAAAAATAAATTAAAATTTGTGTATTAATAAATTTAAATATTTAATGGGAGACATTAAATAAAATGCACATTAATTATTTTGAATTAAGGGCACATTAGGGACTAAAATCAATATTTAATCTAACACCAGGTTTTTTTTTTTTTAAATTTTAATCTTCTTGAGGGATTAAAGTTCAAAAACTCCTAAAAATTTACCTGATAATATATATTTTAGTACGCAACTCAATGGATTAATGAGAAATTAAAAAATAATAAAAATGATAAATAATAATTTGATATCTTGTGACACTTTAAGTCCATTCCTTCTTGTCAAAACATCATTTAGTACTCTTGAATCATGAACCGATCCTTCATACCCACTAAGGATGTAAATGAATTCCAAATCAAAGTTACAAGTAGCTAATACATTTTGTGATATGACACCCTTACGATTATGATAATTGCTTACATCGCATCCGAACACTGATGCTGGGATATGTGTGCTATCAATAGCTCCAATACAATCCTAAAAAAGTGTTAAGTTTATCATCTGGAATAAATTAGAATAATACAAAATAAAAAATAAATAAAAAACGACACACTGTACGTACCTTCAAGTAAGGGTAAAATCTCATACTTTCCCTTATTTTAGATGGCACTGCTAATCCATGTTTGGCCATCATCTCTGGTGCTATTGTGTTCAAGGTCTTCAAAACTTTGTTAAAATTTCTACTAACAGTCCAATGTGATCGGCCAAATGTATCATGTAGTAAACAATATGTACTATTGTGTCCAACAATAAGCAAAAATGTTGCAAGCATTTCTTCTATGCAAATGAATCTTGTATCTCGTAAGAGTGTTTTTTCTCTGCTAATAGTGCATAACTTCACAAACACATTAGGATACATTCTATACCTTTGCCGAAAATCCTCTGGGCAATCCTCTTTCAGTACTTTATGTACATAATTGTATCCTTCTATAGTAATTGGTCGTCGATTTAAAGGACGTTCAATAGTTTGTCCAAATGTAATCATAAACTCTTTAAGCACTTGGACTACAGCTTGAATTGCCATCAATAAATATTTGATGGTTTCATAAAGTTCTTCTTCCTCAATTTCTTCTTCATCATTTTCTTCTTCTTCTTCTTCAATTTGTTCTTCCACCATTTGCTCCACTTCCATTTCTTCCTCCAATTCGTCCACTTCTATTTCTTCCCCACCTTTTGCTTCCATGCTTGATTGAGACATTATATGAACTACCCAACCAAATAAACAAAATCATAAAGAAGTTAACAACACACCCAAATACCACCAACCATGAATTTTTACATCGAAACCCTCATCTAATCTATGTACACTTCCCACAACTAATCTACACACACACACACCATAATTAAACCATGATCATCAAATGATTAACCTATATACACACAACACCAATGATCAAATCATAATTTCATAGCTAACTAATTAGTGACTATAAAAATATATCACAAAAACTCAATCACGATAATTTCCAATTGGTGTTCTAAGCAGAGCAACTATTCCCCAACCCAAGAACAAATTCAGCTGTTTCATTTGTACAATTAACTTACAGTAACACAAATGCTTCTAGCAATTTTTTGGCTTTAGTAAACCTTGTGCATCATATAAAGGAAAATATCATGAACAAAATACCACATTCTATAAGTAATTGTAAATAGAAACTACAAAATATCAACATACCACAATTTGATCTATTATCCATTTACAATAAAAACAACACCAGTTTAATAATAATTCCCCTGCAATTTAATACAACAAACAAAACTAGGGGAAAATATTCAATCTAACTCTTAACAGTTGATTGTTATGGCGCACAGAGTGAGAAACTCAAGATCCCAACACAGAACCGGTTTATCGAATTTCGAACTTAAGCAACAGCTCAATCTGCAAAATTCCATAACTTGATTGAATAATTTCATAAGTAAACAAACAACTAAAAGGGCATAAAGCATATAATTTTACAATCTTAAACAAATGACCAAACAAGAATTATACAAATTGGGAAGAAACCTACAATAGAGGAAGATGAGAGACAAGGGCTATTCCACTTCTATGATGAATATGAAAAGAAATCACATGGGGTAGGGTTGGATTCTTGATGGCACTTTGTAATTATACCATCCACTCTCAAATCCCTCAAAATCATTCAGTCATTAAAATCCTAATAAATCTTTGACATTCTCACTATGCCTAGATTTGAATGCATTCTTTAAACTCTTAATCGACTACCCCTTGACACACCCCGATCCTAGAATCAAGACGTGCTGGGCGTCACGTGAGTGTGACGTAGCCAAAAGTGCGACACGGAAGCAAGATATAACAGAAATATGAAGGAATTTAAACCAACCACTAGCAGTATAACCTACTAGCATACAAGACAGAGAGTTATAAAGTAAACACACGAATTCAGAGCGTAGGTCTAAGTGCAGTCAAGTAGGACCATAATTAAAGTACAATACCCGCAGGTGAGTCCTACATGCAGTACGTCTGTCAGAATGCCGAAAAAGACCTCGAGAGCCACCAACTGCTAACTAGAACCTGGAGGGGCGCAAAACAAAGGTGAGTGGGTCAGTAAAAACCAAAGATTTTCCAAAACATTTCATTAAAAACATTTCTAACCCCTCTCCGTAAAACCTGTATACTTTCCCAGAAAAATAGTATATAAACATATAAATACATACATCATCAAAACTCAGCTTACCATCTATGAACATAACATCTCAGAAAGAATATGCCATGCCATGCCAAAATATAATAGGAATGCATCAATATAACTCAGGTGAAATAATAAATCAACCGGAGACCCTGCAGTGGTCCTGTACGGCTGATTCTATAGCTCAATATCCCATCAAGCCGGAGTCACCAACTGTGACCTGTATGGCCCTGCCGGAGTCACCAACTGTGACCTGTACGGCACTACACTGCACATAAGTCGGAACTACCTATAGTAGTCTGTACGACTAAGATGGTGAAATAATACGCTCTAGTGCTTCTCTCATCAATCATCTGTGCACATAATCTAAAGTCACCCACCAGTCGGAACCCTCAAATGGTCTGTACGACTGGCATGTTGGAACCACCTCTAGTGGTCTGTACGACATCCACCTACTTGGATCCAAGGCGAGCGTGCGGTGTGGTGAATACTATAAGCACTAATACCAAATGTGCAGTTTATGAGCTCACAACGCAATCACATCATCATTCATTCATATAAATCATATAAACTCACCTGATACTCACATGTGCGTCCACGACACCAATTCACACATATATATGCATCAATTATCAATTCATAACTCAATATATGCATGCATGGCATTTTAGAAATATAATTTCATATAAACGCATTTTCTGGGAAAACAGTAGTATATAGGTAATACGAAAACAAAACTGCCCACTCACTGATAAGTCGATGGGTCGTAACCTCCGTGACGTCCTTGGATGCGTTCGTCCTCGGGATAGGTGTCACCTATATGCGAAACAACTATAAAAATGTTAATTTAAACACATGACCAAAAATTCGAAATAACTTCTCATACGATGCTCAATTTGGGTATATGAATATACCACATCGGCCTACTCGACGTCACGGACGTCGAGAAATTTTTAGAAAAATTTTTAGGCTTGCCACGCGCCCCCACGTGCCGTGGGTGGCATGGGTCCACGCGCCCCCACGAGCATCGTCTTCCTCAGCCAGTCGCCGGACTGGTTTTTCCGGCGGCCGGTTTCCGGCCAACTTTGAAACTCCTTGTTCTCCTTCGTTTCTCAACCATTTTCTTCATATTTTATATCAAAACGACGCCCCAAACATGTAGAATCACGATACACTACTTTAAAGCTCTAAAAATTACGAAATCTCACCGGAGAAATTTCACAAAAATCGGCCAACTTTGAACGTGGTGATCCCGATGTCCAAAACCTTCAAACGAAGCACTCCGAGCTTCCTTGGAACCTCACTAAGCTCACTATAAGCTTAAAATCCCCTGAAACACAACATTTCACGTGTGCATGAACAGTGACCAAAAATAAGGGTTCGGGTTTCACGTTATTTCGAAGGTTTCCCTTCTTAAAACTAGCACCAAACGACTCAAAGCATCACAAGGATGAAGAATCTTACCTTGTTTGCTTTGATCCACAGAGTTTTGGATGGTTTTGGTGATGTCCGTACAATCGGGGTGAGAGAGAGAGAAAGAGCCGTGAAGGAGGGGAGAGAGAGAGTGCTACGGGAAGGGAGAGAGAGCAGGGAGTTTAGATGGTCCAACATCCAATCCTCACCCTCCATTTCATCTAATTCCCTAACCACATAATTCCAAAACCAAATTTTAATCCCAAAACTTATAAAATTAATCAAATAACGTCACAAACACGTACCTTAGCCCCCGCTAAGGGCAAATCCGACATTACACGTCATTAATAAGAAAATCTCGGGATAGGCTGTGACACCCCTTAATTTGCGTATATTCTTCAAAATCCTCTTAAATCCTAATTTGACTACACCATGATTTTAGAATTTTTTAAAATCTTTTTTTTAAACTCTAATCGACTATACCCGGATTTTAAAGTCTATTAAAATCCTATCAAATCCTAATTTGACTACACCTGCCTTTCATGTGAGCATGGCTTTTCCTCTTCTGTTGTCTGGCATGAAAGAAATCGAAGGGGGGAGGGTTGGATTGTTGATAGCATTTGGTATTTTTATTACCCACTTTCATATCCATCAAAATCATCAATTCCTTAAAATCCTAGTAAATCTTTGGTATTCTTACTATACCTAGATTTGTATGGATTTTTTAAAAACGTAATTGACTACCCATGGATTTGAATGTATTCTTTAAAATCCTGGTAAATCCTAACTTGACTACATGTTGATTTCAAAGTCTGTTAAAATCCTTTTTAAAATCTTAATGGACTACATCCGGATTTTAAAGTCTATTAAAATCTTATCAAATCCTAAGATTTTAAAGGATTTTAAAAGTACTAGATTTGATAGGATTTAGGAGGATTTAGACTCCTACAAAATTCATATGGATTTTAAATAATTTGAATGGATTTAATTTGTAGATTTTGGTGGATTATGGTGGATTTTCATATAATTTTTTTATTGAAAAAAAAAGAAAAAATATTTCCCCTTGCCCTATTGTACTTGATAGTCACTTTATCCCCTCCCTTTTTGGGTCCTCTTTCACACAACCACAGCTCCATCTATTTCTCAATTGATAGATCAACATAACTTTGGTGAGCTTTTGAGCACTACACCACCAACAACCATCACCACCGACTGTCCTTTTGCCACAGACGTACGCTGTGGTACTTCAGTAGTGATTGTAGTACCACAGACGTTAAAAAATCAAAATGGCGAGAGAGTAGTATTAACCAAAATCCTAGATCGATCATGTCCTTCAATGGTCATACATGCCTAACTAAGGTCTAAGGGTCATAATAATACATGAAACTAGTATCAGAAACTGTTACATGCACCCTTGCACACCTTACAGTCAACCAAGCCTGTCTTTAGCTTCATTTTTCCATTGTTGCAGACTACACATTTTGTACCACCTACTGGTCTCAAGTCTGAATGATTGAAGTGCTAAAATGTTGAAAGAAATAAAAGAATTATTGAATGTCAAAATAAAGAAGCATAACAGATGATGTACAAATTCGTATTTTATTACATGCACTACTAATATTTTTTGTTTGCAGCACTGTGATCCTAATCCTATGTATGATATATCCTTGAATGCTTCAAACTAATATTTTGTATAGTAGGGATCAACTATTAGGTGTTGAACACTGGACTAAGTTCTAACCATTGAGCATCAATGTGATTCCCTTATGACTTGAGAATTCAAGAACCCGTAAAAAAACCTAGCTCAAACAGTGTGCAATACTGTGAAATGCTTACAAAAAGAGATTCCACCAAAGTATATGGTGGTTATCTGTGTGTGGCAAGGGTTGGTAGAGATTTGAGGACTGCCCAGATGGAAAAAGATTTGAAATCCTCTGGAGTGAGGTTTGATTCTTTTTAGTCTTGGTTATATATATTTCTTGCTCTCAAATCCCACAAAATCCACAACTTATTGAAATCCTTTAAAATCCTTTAAATTGGTTAGATTTGGATGGATTTTAAAATCCTTTAAAATCCTTTAAAATCCTTTAATTGACTACACCTAGATTTGAATGGATTCTAAAATCCTTTAAAATCTTTTAATTGACTACACTAGGATTTTAAAGTCCTTTAAAATACTCTCAAATC